TATCACTAAATAGTCCTATTCGAATCCAGGTCCGAGTCCCGATGTCGTCCAAATATGGAAGATGAGTCCCAAACCCCACAGATAGACAACACTCCATAAGCGCTACTCAGACGGTCTTCCGAGAGTGAGCTACCACTGTGATTTTACGCTCATATAGGCAATCCTGATGTAGGATTTTGTCAAGTAGGCATTCGCAGGATTTAATAGTGTAAGTAAATATGTATCTGAGATGGGAGATAAATGTACAGAAACATTGAAATTGATGGTTATTCATTTTGTTTCTTTATCGTGATACTTACTTCAGTCAATATTGCAACCAAAACGGGCTTTACGCGACACCGGCAGCAACAATATATTGCACACGTATATCTGCCATTGTAAAATGGGAAGTAAGCAGTACCGGATTTAAGACAAATCCTTTACTTTTTAAGTTTTGATGCCTTTTATAATGACAAATTCATCAAAATATTCCTCTCAAGATAATGCCCCTTCCCATCCGGCCAACAGGGGTCCTGTGCACCTATGCACACCTATCCACAATGGTAAATTCTGTACTGGAGTTAAGTCCCTTTTCCAGCAACACATCCAGACAGCTGACTTGCACAGACTTTGATTGGAACAGAACCTTCAACCCCCGGTTCACGTGGCTCAGTAACGGATCTGATGCTGTTTCCGCTGAAACGGAACATCCTATTATTATTATTATTATTATTATTATTATTATTATTATTATTATTATTATTTTCATCACCATTGAATAAAAATATTATTTTGGAATGTTCTAAAATATTCAAATGAGTTAGTTTTTTTTAGCAATCCCATTCTAATATATTAAGACTTTTGGCTGACCAGTAAATTCTAGGATCTCATTCATTCGGAACGTAGGATGCTTTTAAACATTTTCAATATTATTATGATTATAAATACTTCAATAATTAATATTCTAATTTCGTGTTATATTTTCATTTCATAACTTTAGTACTTCAATATTTCTTCATGTAAAAAACCGCAACTTCTTTTATTCTTTCTGTTACTGTTATGACTATCGAGTCTCACCAACACACCCACCCACCCACACCCACCCACACACACACACGCGCATACATTAAACATAATGAATTTCTTACAAAGCAAATTAGTAGTGTCGGTCCATGAACAAGGGATGGTGTGTGTGTGAGTGTGTGTGTAACCTGTAACAATATAACACAAAGGAAGACACGAGTCCGCACCCTTCGGTAGTTCCAACCCTGCTAGTTTATCCTAATTGAGCCTGCTAATTTTTAACTTAAGACAGTCATAATCAGGAACATGTTAATTTTCAAAACCTTTAGATCCGACAAGCTCGTGTATGTAGTTCAGCGATAAATACAAGCAGAAGATTACAAGGAAATAAATGGTTAATTTTATTTTCTCTATAGTAAAATAATTTAATTAAGTATAGTAGCCTAGATAATGGTAATTAACAAAATATTAAAATATGTTCATTATTTTATATATGGGAGCGAATGTTCGGAATATAATATTATAAATTTATAACTGTATACTATGCAATAATGTGACCAGCAGTCAGACCCAAATTTACCATAATCATTATTTGTTTTGCCACTAAAATTAAAACATATCATAAGGTACATTAACGATATTTACTGTGGACTCGATGTTGTTCGAATGTAACCTTTTGGTTAATGGTGAAATCTAAGACTATCTGAATGCAAACGGCAATGCCGGGGACATTAGTGGGATAATGAAATCCTGATGTGTCAATTATAGTTGCATACAAATGCTTGCAGAAGCTGGAAACAGCAAGATACTATAATGGTACTTATAGATGCAGTGTTTACAAAGTTTCTACGGAAACAATCGGATTCACTAACACATTGTTCCAAGGTTACTGGCCTTTAATCTTCCAAACATCAATATTAGTAACCAATATGTCTTAAAAGTCCTATTTTAGTTATGCGTGACACTGCCATCGTCCACTATTTGTATGAATTCAATGCAAGAATTTGATTATGGCAATAATATCTCAGGTACAAATGGACAAATTGAGATGATGCAATGATAGCTGCACCATTGTATCCTCCGTTCGATTTCTGTGTAATAGAGCGTTTCACATCAACTTAATCGTCTGATTAAATTGAATTTACTCGGATAAGCTACCATATTAAATAAGTACATTTACAAATTCCAAAATCACATTGTTTTGAATGATTTAAAAAATGTCTGGTAATGTGGGAATTTTACAGTATTATCTGATAAATATTTGCAATGATATATCCATCTTTCATTACATTACCATACTATATCTGCCATAATTGTATCATGATATGTCCCTCACAACAATGCATTGATTTATCCGTCTGTCATATAATTGCCATTATATATCCAACTGTCATAGCGTTGCCAAAATATCTCCATCTGTCATAACATTGCCATGATGTATCCATGTCATAGCATTGCCATGCTGTATCCATCTGTCACAACATTCTCATAATATATCAATCTGATTTAATATTGATATTTCAAAAAATGTAGCTCCATATATTTCTAACGATGATTCAATGGACAGCGAATCATGTGTATTCAATACGCAAATCAGGTATAAAGTAATCATGAAATAGTCCCATATATCCAGCTTATATTGTTCATATTATCATATCTGTCAGACATTTACTACTTTTTAAAACCCTCAATTGTCAGATATTTACTGTATTGAAATATCTGTCAGGCCTTTACATACCTTTATCTGTCAGACCTTTTCTCTCTTGTAATGCCTAAATCTGTTAGACCTTTACTGTCTTGTAAAAGGATCATTGTGTTTCTTGTATGGTCTGGTATTTAGTCAAGTTGTTCATTTAATCAATGTTCTTCTGTATTCAACAGTTCCATCTCACTTACCTCAAACTTATCTCGAAAACGTCCTGATAGTTTATTAGTCTTCTGTGAATATGACTCGTCTAAATGATTAATGTTCCTTTCAAGGTCAGAAACATCCATTGTAGAATTCATCCATTATAGAACCTTTTGGTCAATTGTGAAATCTAAGACTATATTAATGCAAACGGCAATGTCGGGGACATTAGTTGTCCTGACGTCATAATCTAATCGGTTAACAATTATTCCATTTTCTCCAATGTGTCACAAACTGGTTGTGTCGAGCTGTTTTGAAAACTGAACTATTCTAGATTAGGAATGGCTTAAATTGGAAATTAGCAGACGTAATTAGTTTAAACCAACAGGGTTGGAACAACCGAAAGGTGCGGACTTTTATCTTCCCTTGTGTTATATTGTTACAGGTTAGACCCCCCTCCTCACAAACGGATACTCCTAATTTACTTTGTAATGAACCCTTCTGCTACTTGTGGCTTTACCCTAAATTGTTATACACTGGCAAGAGTCGTCATAAAAAACTGATTGACCAGTAACAATAATGGCTCGTGCAAAGAAAGAAACAATTATAGCACGTGCGGCTTAAGGTTTTCTTAAACTAACGTGTAGATCGGTGAACGTCAATAAAAAAAAGCTGGCAAAAGTGGTGTGTACTGAAAGATAAAGAGATATTCGAAAAGGATATATCATAGGATTTTTCTAAAACGAAATACGAGTATTACTCTGGACCCATCTCATTTATTAGATCAGAATTGTAGAGGGTACATAAAAATATCTAGACACCATTTATCTATAAAGTGTCTGGAAAAGTCTACGATGCTTCTAGATTTTAAACGGGAGAGTAAGAAGGATAACAAGGTGATAATAGTTCCCACTTCTTTTTCGTAATATGTTTTTATACCTGTAATCCATTTAACAACCTTATATTCAGCACAGAAGAAAGGCACAAATACTCAAAAACTCAAACTAATTCCATCTCATTTACCTCAAACTCATCTCGAAAACGTCCTGATAATTTATTAGTCTTCTGTAAATATGACTCGTCTAAATGATCAATGTTCCTTTCAAGGGCAGAAACATCCATTGTAGAATCCATCCATTATAGAACCTGTTGGTCAATTGTGAAATCTAAGACTATCTTAAATGCAAACGGCAATGCCGGGGACATTAGTTGTCCTGACGTCATAATCGGTTAACAATTATTCCATTTTCTCCAATGTGTCACAAACTGGTTGTGTCGAGCTGTTTTGAAAACTGAACTATTCTAGATTAGGAATGGCTTAAATTGGAAATTAGCAGACGTAATTAGTTTAAACTAACAGGGTTGGAACAACCGATATGGTGCGGACTTTTATCTTCCCTTGTGTTATATTGTTACAGGTTAGACACCCCCCCTCCTCACGAACGGATACTCCTAATTTACTTTGTAATGAACCCTTCTGCTACTTGTGAGCTTTACCCTGAATTGTTATAAACTGGCAAGAGTCGTCATAAAAAACTGATTGACCAGTAACAATAATAGCTCGTGCAAAGAAAGAAACAATTGTAGCATGTGCGGCTTAAGGTTTTCTTAAACTAACGTGTAGATCGGTGAACGTCAATTAAAAAGCTGGCAAAAGTGGTGTGTACTGAAAGATAAAGAGGTATTCGAAAAGGATATATCATAGGATTTAGCTAAAATGAAATATGAGTATTACTCTAGACCCATTTCATTTATTAGATCAGAATTGTAGAGGGTACATAAAAATATCTAGACAACATTTATTTATAAAGTGTCTGGAAAAGTCTACTCTGCTTCTAGATTTTAAATGGGAGAGTAAGAAGGATAACAAGGTGATAATAGTTCCCACTTCTTTTTCGTAATATGCTTTTATACGTGTAATCCATTTAACAACCTTATATTCAGCACAGAAGAAAGGCACAAATACTCAAATTCGGATTTTTAACGTAGTTTTAACAAATTTTTCAGTCATATCGCTACGATGTCTGCAGTGTGACAGATTATAGTACCGAGTCATCATGCCGCAGACATATGGCATGATGTCCCACCCAGTCGCATGATCCTGACACCAGACTGACCAGTCCTAACACCGCTTCATGCTGAGCTGGTATGACTCGACCGGGGTTCGAACCAATGACATTCCCCATTCAAGGTGGATGCGTTAACCTCTAGGCCATCGGACCATTCCAAAAGACTGAATTTACGAAAAGTACATAAGGTATTGAATGATTGTCTTGATTCTCGTGTTTTATTAGCCATTTAATTTTCATCTAATGTAATGGAAGTATTAATTTGTATTCGAAGACAAATTGTTAGTAATTTTCAGTGACGCCGCAATAAGTTCATAAACCTGATTTGGAAATCATTTCAAAAACCGTGTTGTACTTAACGGGTAAAATATTTATTGTGCTTTTAAACATTTATTGCGATGGAGTCTACGAATTTATTTTACAGACTTATCGTAATGTTTGGGAAGTTGAATTCTGTAAGATCTATATTTTAGATTCACGTAGGAAGCTGTGAAGTTGCCGTTGAAAAATATTTGTATGGGGACTTGACCATATCTGAGACCAGTGATTCTGTCATGCAATTCTTTGAAACAGAAACCTGTACTATCTTCCGTGTAGAGAGAGCTCTTACAAGTCTTTGTTGCACCTGACATTTGAATACCTATCATTTTTGGGTCGGTTCCAAGTTTGATTCGGAAAGGTTTATACAATGTTACATATGAAAGGAGGAGGGCACTGTAACCTTAACAAGTACATGTTAATTCTTTCTGTTCTATGTAGGCATAAAGGTTTTGTATAAGGTTACCATTGTCAAAAATAGAGAAGACGCTTTTATCTCCACATATTTGATTCATGTGCATTATTTTGGACATGCCATTTCCTAGTCGGTAAGTAAGAAATGTAGATATAATTTTGTAGTTACATTTAATAGGGAGGTAGGTCTCCAATTATTCATACTGTTTGAAATTTGAGGATCCTTTTATAATAGCGTAATATAGGATAGATTTTGTGAATCAGTTGAACTCGAAATCATATAAAAGGACTTATATTTTGCCTACAAGTTAAAGAGTGACGATAAACTTTTGTGAGGCCTGCAGGTTCAGTTAATTTAAGAAAATGATCATCCATGTTGGTTGTGAGGTAACCCAGTTAAATTATTTTCGAATAATCCTTCATCAATTGTTTCGGTTTTAAGGTTTGAATAAAACTCTTCAAAACAAGTTAGCACTAGAGTTATAGGTCACGTTGTATTCAGTTTCAGTGATGGTTATCTGGGAACCCATCATGTTTCTAATTGAGAAAAGAAATGGTTCGTTATTTTGTTATCTAAAAAAAATTATTGTTAATACATGATCTGATTTGTGTCACTTTTTAATTGACTTTGTAAAAGTGCATAATTTGAATCCTATCGGTTTCTAGAGTTTCTTAGTCTTTCTTCAGTAATTTCATTTTTGAAATTTTAATTATGGAAAGTTAGCTGGGATATCAATTTTTTTCTACTTAATTTTAAATTTGAGTTCGTCCCAAAATTACAGCTTAAAATTGTATTTTAGTTCTTTGTTTAAAGACCGTAATTAGTGTTTTAATGTAGTGTGGTTTAAATGAGGAATGTTGCATTTCCAGTAACCTACACCAGTTGCATAATATAGATACAACTATTGTATCATACTCAGATTCAGTTTTATAATACAATTTAGAATCAAAATTTTTAATTTATGTTTTGATGGGGTTTGATGGTTTAAATTAGATAACTTTTGATTTGATATTGTTTCTATAGGTGTGTTAATCTGATAAAAGTATCGTCTCGGAATCCTTCACCTAGGTTCCATTTGTGACTATTGCCAAAGTTTCCTATGTCCTGTCTTTGCTATATGTAGCATACTATATTGCTATGCTATAGGTAGTATGCTATATTGTTGTGAGTGCTATAGGTAGTATGCTATATTGTTGTGAGTGCTATAGGTAGTATGCTATGTTGTTGTGAGTGCTATAGGTTGCATATATTGTTGTGAGTGCTATAGGTAGTATGCTATATTGTGGTGAGTGCTATAGGTAGTATGCTATATTGTGGTGAGTGCTATAGGTAGTATGCTATATTGTGAGTGCTATAGGTAGTATGCTATATTGTGAGTGCTATAGGTAGTATGCTATATTGTTGTGAGTGCTATAGGTAGTATGCTATATTGTTGTGAGTGCTATAGGTAGTATGCTATATTGTTGTGAGAGCTATAGGTAGTATGCTATATTGTTGTGAGTGCTATATCTGAGTGCTATAGGTATCTTCTAAAGACGGCATTTAAATCAGATTTAGTCTCCTAAGGTATGCATATTTATTTATTGAATTAAAATGAGATTAAATTTTAAATTTTGATTTCATTGTAAAAGAGACGGTATTTCTAAGAACAGTAAGGAAACTTAAAATAAACCTAGTTTTTATGTAAGCGTTTGTTGTGGCGACTCCTTTTATTTTAGTTACTATGACAGATTTTGCGTCATGTAGGAGAATCAATCTTTATTGTCTGCTCCTACCTACAGTTAGATGCCACTAGATTTACATATTATGTAGCGAAATTCAAGATTTTGTTTAAATTGGAGAGCAAAAAAGGAAGATGAAGAGACGGGGTTCTCAGAAGGGACTTTTCATGTTATCTTCTCCCCGTATCTTTGTTCTGTTTGTCCATGTACTACTACACCTTAGTTTTTATGAGGCTCTCTCGCTGGCCTGTTCACTTTGCTTTGCTCATTGTGGCTTAGCTCTGCGATGTCTACGTCCCATACTTTATTCATGTTTAGGTCAATGTCTATTTCTATAATAGAAAATAAATTCAGGTGATGAAAGAAAGAAAGGTAAGAAGAGAAAATCTGTCTACCCCCCACTTTAATTGTTTTACACTATTTTTGGCTACATGCTGTCATGGTTCCCACTATGTAGCTAATAATTTTCTTTATTGTTTTGTTACCTACTTTAACAACTAAATTCAGTAAAATTTTGTTGAACATTTATTTATTTTGTATTTGTAAAATGTTATTCTATATTTTTTTTGCATTCTGCGGTTAACGTGATTCTTCTTTTAACTTAATATTTTACACAGTGGCATTTTAGTATGGTTTGTACCATGTGTCTTTTGCTGACTTGCCTGACAACCATACAATGTGTAAGTACTTCAATATAATGCATGTATTTTTTAAAAAATTTATATTTGTCAAATTTGTCCATACCCTCCCCAGTAGACCACCAGGTCTCATTTTCTTCTTTGCTCCTTACATTTTTTGTTGCATTTTCTCCAATCCAGTTGTATTTATTTTTATTTTCAGTTTTCCATAGTTCTCTATTATCTCTAAATTTATGAGGCAAGTCTCTAATGTAGTTTAATTTCCTTGGAGCTTAAAGTTTTTAAAGTATATATATATATATATATATATATATATATATATATATATATATATATATATATATATATATATATATATATATATATGAGAGAGAGAGAGAGAGAGAGAGAGAGAGAGAGAGAGAGAGAGAGAGAGAGACTTGTACCGTCATCATCAGAAAGTTAAATCGGTCTGCACAGCAATGACCAACATGGACTGGAAATATTTGCAGGAATCGGAATACATAGCAACAGTTAATGTGAATTGGAATACATAGCAATAGATAATGTGGACTGGAAATATTTGTATGAATCGGACTACATAGCAACAATTCAGGTGGAATGGAAATATTGTTAGCAACTGAAAACGAAAATTATCTGAGGAATCTCGTGGATTTGTCTTATGTTGATACACACATGGTTGCGAGCATGATCACATAACCTATTTTAGTTATGCAATATGGATATGTAAATGATAGAAAAAAAATAATCATGGGCGGATTAGTGTAGTAGTCGGACCGGTTTCAATTTCTGGAGAAACTGCTAGGTTTAAAAAAAAGTATGAAAAGGAAGGAAACGTTGGCTGTGAAAGCTTTTTGAACATTTTTTTTTTTTTGCCAATAGTTACTATAGCATCAGTATCTCTATTTCAGGTAAACCTCTGTTGACCCTGGCATCGGTTGAAAACGAAGATAAACAGAAGAACAAAAATTAAAAGATTTGCAAGGTGAAAGCTAATGTATAAAATTTCTCTTGAAAGGAATTTGCTATGAAGTTCCTTCCTAAAGCTGGTTTCGTAGTTGTGACGTGAACGCGACATTGAATAGGATCCAGATTATTCGTTAATGCTCCTCAGTTCTATTTTTGTGTTTAGTGTTTTCATTTTTTTCCGGAACAGCGTCCTTTGAGGCCCGTGTACGTGAGTAATGTGCGTTATTGTAACCGATCCATTGAAATTAAACAGTTCCGTTGTAATTGACATGACCTGCCAATTACAAGGAAATACATATCACGTGTGAGAGGGAAATCAACAGATGTCAAATATAGTTTCATACCAAAGCTTGCAGAAGCTAAAAGCAGCGAGATACTAGGATGCTACTTTTGGATGCAGTTTACAAATTTTCTACGGAAACATCGGAATCAATAACACCCTGTGAAAAGATTACTGAACTTTAATCTTCCAAACATCAATATTAGTAATTATCATGTCTTACAAGTCCGCATTTAGTTAGGCGTGACACAGCCATCGTCCACTATTTGTCTGAATTCAATCTATGCAAGAATTTGAGTATGGCAGTAATATCTCGGGTACAAATGGACAGATTGAGATGATGCAATGGTAGCTGCATCATTGCATCCTCCATTCGATCTCATTGCAATAGAGCGTTTTACCTCAACTTAATCCTCTTAATTTATTTGAATTTACTCTGATAAAAAAACCTATCAAATAAGTACATTTACAACTTCCATGATCAGTTTTGAATGGTTTACAAAATGCCTGGTTAGGTTGGAATTTTACATTATTATCTGATCAATATTTAAAATAATTTACAATACTAAATCCATCATATTTTTACATTCTCATGATATATCCGTCATAGTTTTGCCATGATATAGTATCATGATATATCCATCTGTCATAACATTGCCATGATTTATCCGTCTGCCATAGAATTGCCATTATATATCCATTTGTCATAGCCTTGTCATGATATATCCATCTGTCATAACATTGCCATGATGTATCCATCTGTCATAACATTACCATGATTTATCCGTCTGTCATATAATTGTCATTTTATA